GTGCCAATATCCTTATTTCATTTGTTTTCTTGTTACACATGTGGTCCCCGTCCTTTCGGATGTTGGTATGTCCTCTGGTCTTCTTCTAAATGGAGCCCGACCACACACGCTTGGGGCTATATAAAGACATGTGATAGTGTCAGTAGGAGGCATAACCCTTTGATAACGTGTATGTGCACGAAACGCGTCAGTGGAGCATGTCGTACTGACGTCACGCCGCCACGTCCTCAAGGAGGTCCGGCGGTCATCTTTTTGAGTGTAATTTTGCCATTTTGTTCCCGCGTGGATGTTTCCTATGGCTTTAATAAATTAATTACTGCACCATAAGCGCTCCTTTTCTGTGGCTCGTTTTGCGAACTATTCCCTTTAAGGTGGGCTGTGTTTGCTGGTGGAAAGGTCTGCTGGGTTCATCCCTTAATACAGTGGGAGGCTAGTGTTATTCATTTCCATACTGTGAACATGTCGGTGGACGATTCTTACCTGTTGAGGAGTTTCTGTCATATTTCAATGTGTATTTAACCTCCCTAGTGGTATGATTATGGTCATATTTCTGTGCTGAAAGCAGTACATTTTTTTGCATGGAAATGTGTATTTGTTTTTATTGTAGGCCTGTAATTTTTAGGAATAACTCACTGAAATCTGTCCAAACAAGAGTCTAGTAAACATTCCGGGTGGGATAAAACTTGAAACACGAAATCATAAATTATAATTTAATAAATAATCATAAAAAATAATAATATAATAATAATAAATTTAATTCAATAATATAATCAAACCAAAAATACTGAAATTTGAAATATAGCGCCAAGTTCGCACATCACTGAGCAAAGTCACAAAATCAATTTCAGTGTCTGATGATGAATTTCCCCACGATTCATTATTACTCAGTTCTGCAAGTGGTTCTAATTTACTATCGCTGTTCTCTAGCTGGTCTAAAACCGCTTTTGACCTAAAGGGACGCTTTTTGGATGCCATGGATGTTTCTCAGTTTCAAGGCAGAAAGAACAGTGAAAATGCAGGCAGGGCACAGGACAAAGCACTAGGGACAAAATGTATGTGAAATGATTTGATACAGTAATGTTTTACTATGTGATTTTAGTGAATTTAGTGAATGCCACTTTTAGAATTTTCAAATTTCGTACGTCCCGACGTCGCAGGGAACGGAATCCAGAAGACAGATGCCGGCATCGGCCTGAGGACATTGCAGGGGACACTGCAGGAGGGACATCGCAGGACAAGGTAAGTGAAGAAGAGATTCCTGAGCAACGCTGCAGGGTATTCCAGAGTGTAGCTCGGGGTTACTGCTTTTGGTGCTGAAATTTTACCCTGAGCTACACTCAGGAATACCGCCAGGGAGGATAAAAACCCACTAGTACTTATCATCAGGAATATGGAAACTGTTTGATTTTTAAATGTGCTCTTTAAAAACAAATGGCCCGACTTTAATGAGTCAGAAAAAAATTATCATATTGTACTCTAACTGGTGCATTGTTTTTGCTTTAGGGAGTCCATTTGATTGTATACATGACCCTACTTTTTTGTGCTTGCTTGATCTCTGTTTCCCTTCCATTTTTGTTCATACCTTTGTACCTCTCACTTAAAAAAGTTAATAAACACAGTATACTGCATCATGCGTTGAGCAGTATGGAAGATAAGGGGCTATTGCTCTTGCCCTGCAGTCTTAGGTTTGTAACCTGGGGTAAAGTTTACGTTGAGTTTTGTATGTTCTGCCTATGTTTTCATGAGTTTACTTGATTGGCTTGCTAACAATTTTACCATAGAATATTTGAGTGCACAGAAATAAAAGGTTGTGAGCTCATTTTGGAACACAGAGACTGATGTAAAAGGTTCAAAACTATAAAATATGGGAAATAGATAATACCTGTCTTTGCTATATTAGAATAATAAATGTTTAAAGGCTTATTTGGGTATATAACATTCTGTTTTCTATATTATTCTATATACAGTTAGGTCCATATATATTTGGACACAGGCACAATTTAATTTTTATTCAGGTATTTACAAAAACTTATTCAAGCTATAGTTATATCATGGACATGGGCTGAAAGTGCACACTCTCAGATGTAATTTGAGGATATGTACATCCAAATTGGAGAAAGGGTTTAGGAATTACAACTCTTAAGAGTAGCCAACCCCCCTATTTCAAGGGACCAAAAGTAATTGGACAATTGAATCAAAAGCTGTTTCATGGCCAGGTGTGGGCTACTCCGTTGTTTCTTCATCAATTAAGCAGGTAAAAGGTCTGGAGTTGATTCTAAGTGTGGTATTTGCATTGGGAATCTATTGCTGTGAACCTACATTCAAAGGAGCTGTCCATGCAAATGAAACAGGCCATTGTAAGGCTGCAAAAACAAAACAAATCCATCAGAGAGATAGCAGCAACATTAGGAGTGGCCAAATCAACAGTTTGGTACATTCTGAGGAAAGAAGAACGCACTGGTGAGCTCAGCAACATAAAAAGGCATGGACGTCCACGTGAAGACAACAGTGGTGATGATCGCAGGATCCTCTCTATGGGAAAGAAAAACCCATTCTCAACATCCAGACAAGTGAAGGACACTCTCCAGGAGGTGGGCGTATCATTGTCAAAGTCTACAATCAAGAGAAGACTTCACGAGAGCAAATACAGAGGGTTCACCACAAGGTGCAAACCATTCATAAGCCTGAAGAATAGGAAAACCAGATTAGACTTTGCCAAAAAAAATCTAAAAAAGCCAGACCAGCTCTGGAAAAGAATTCGTTGGATGGAGGAAACTAAGATTAATTTGTACCAGAAAGACGAGAAGAAAAAAGCGTGGAGAAGGCTTGGAACAGCTCATGATCCAAAGCACACGTCATCTGTAAAAGATGGCGGAGGCAGTGTGATGGCATGGGAATGCATGGCTTCCAGTGGCACTGGGTCATTGGTGTTTATTGATGATGTGACAGAAGCAGCCAGATGAATTCTGCAGTGTTTAGAGATATACTGTCAGCCCAGATTCAGCCAAATGCAGCAAAGTTGATTGGACGGCGCTTCACAATGGTCCAAAACACACTGCAAAAGCAACCCAGGAGCTTTTGAAGGAAAAGAAGTAGTATATTCTGCAATGGCCGAGTCAATCACCTGATCTCAACCCAATTGAGCATGCATTTCACTTGCTGAAAGCAAAACTAAAGGCAGAAAGACCCACAAACAAAGAAATGAAGAGAGTTGCAGTTAGAGCCTGGCAAAGCATCAGAAAGGAGGAGATCCAGTCTTTGGTAATGTCCATGGGTTCCAGACTTCAGGCAGTCATTGTCAATAAAAGATTCTCAACAAAATATGAAAAATTAACATTCATTTTATGATTAGATTCAATTTTCCAATTACCTTTTGGTCCCTTGAAAAAGGGGGGATGAGCTATAATGACTAAACCCTTCCTCCAATTTGGATGTACATACCTTCAAATTAAACTGCAGAGTGTGCGCTTTCAGCCCATATCCATTATATAACTATAGCTTGAATATGTTTTGGTAAATACCTAAATAAAAACTAAAATTGTGCCTGTGTCCAAATATATATGGACCTAACTATATATTCTGCCAAGAGCTTGTAGTTTTATATCTGGATCTCCTGTATATTCCTATACACACTGGCTTAATAAAATATAAATTAAGTAAATAGAGTGTGGAGTTATTAATATGATGTGTTTTATGTATAGATTGAAAGGAAGAGACAATCTACTCAAAATGTGCTGGTGTTCAACTCTTTATTATCAAGCTGATCATATTTAAACATCATAGGTGAAATACAGTAGAATCCAATGCGACAAGCTTCATTCTCTTCAAAAACGTTTCAAAAAGGCTTCTAATTAGACATTCTAAAAGAAGCAGAAAAAGATTATGTTTGTTAGTCAATTCATTGAATTACTGCTAATATAAAAGTCAGAGCCCTGAAGACGTAATTTTCTATGTTGAAACATGTTGGGTGGTAACTTCTGATTTGAAATCAATTCCGACACCAGAAATATGTGGCAACCATCTTTAGTATGGGGTTTTTAGTGGTTTTCTAAGGCAAATACTGTTTGGTACTGTGTAAGTGCATTTCTTTGATATTTGAAATAAACAAACGGTACTTATTCCTATGTGGGATCCCTTTCCTTCTTCCCTACTGCTAAATAAGGAGTGTCTATCATAATCAAAGCCGGGACATTTACTTCGGGAAGTCATCAGTAGTCATCACCAGCGATCAGTAGATTATTTCTCCTGGTTAAAGTGGTAGTAAACTCATTTTTTATACTTTAACTTACAGGTAAGCTTATAATAAAGCTTACCTATAGGTAAAATTAATATCTCCTAAACATTTACCATTTAAGAGATATTCTAGTGAGCAGCAGCCGGTGACATCACCTATGCATGTGCTCTGAAGGAACGGCATACCCGTGCTGTTCCTTCGGAACTGTGTGTCATGGCCGTAGGACGTAGACATCATCGTGGCTTCGGCCATTCAAGTGGAAGGAAGGAAGACCGGGTGAAGATGGAAGCCTCTGCAGTGGTGACAGCATGCAACTGGAGGGCTTTGTTCTTAGGTAAGTCTTTCATAATGTGCTAGTATGTGATGCATACTAGTACATTATGACATTACCTTGCAGGGGAAAAATTGTTTTTGTTTTTTTTTAGGTTTACTAACGCTTTAAGTTATCTCCTACAAAAGGTGCAATCTCTTCCTTGACAACTTACATTACTCTCTGTTTTACAGTTCTAATAATGGTTCATTCACCTGTTCATCAATTGTAATAGATTAGTGAACAAGTAAAGGCAGTAGCATGTGAAAGCTCTTTCTGCTAGTAATTTCATGCTAGTTTGTTTTACTCAATGCTGTATGCATAACAGGGTCAGGGTGATTCCTATGTGAAATGCAGCAATCAACTAGTGAGGAATTTCTACAAGGTGACCCTCAGTGAAATCATTGGCATAAAAAAATCTGTACGACCTAGCCCTAAATCAAGATGGAGATCAAATTATTTTACTGTAGGCAGAGACAGATGGAAGTAATAGTGTAATTTTTTACTGGATACACAAAAAAATATTCTGCTTATTTGCATTTGACAACACTTGAACTGATTTTTGCAAAGCTGAGCAGCAAAGTACAGGGCCTGGGTATTCTGTCTGGGAAGGTCATATTGGTGACTTACGCTGTTGATCCAGGAGATGTAGGCAGACACTCTGGTGAACACGGATGGTTTCTGGTAATAGTTACATCCAAGAGAGGATCCAAAGCTGACAATGCCATGGACTTGGTAAACACCACTGATGGCACAATTCAAGGGTCCACCAGAATCACCCTGAAATTGTCAGAAAAGAAGAAAACTCTTGTTGAAATCACTGTAATCACTTGCTTCATAATTTACATTAAAGTAGTCATGGTGTTATGGATCCTCATGATTTGGCAATATACAGCAGGCTGTCAACATACAAGGGGGGTAAATATTTGTTCAAGATCTCAAAGTGGCTTGTATTTATAGGAACATCTATATAAAGTTCAGATATTGAAATTGTTGCAAGAAATTGTATTAATTAAATTTAATTAACACTTTAATTAGGGTAGAACATTCAGTAATTATGACTTTACAAATTATGTAGCAATATACTTGTAATGAATATAATTGTAAATTGATAAAATTCCATATACTGTAGGAAATGTAGAGAAGTGTATTAGTAAATCTCATGATGTGCTTCTGTTCTTATGTAAGATTGCTAAACCTTGAAAGCAGAGGTGTCCTAGCACCTCCCTCCTTTTTTATTACTTATGGTTATCCTTGTATGTATTTATAAATTCATAGTGATCTCACAGATTGTAAAGTGACAGAGAATTTTGTATATTTTCACTTTATAGATAAATAATTGTAGATATAATATTATTTCTACTAATGATCATAATAACAACAATAATAAAATGGGGGACTTGTTTTCCTGTTCTTTACAAAGTTAGTAGAAAAACATTATAGAAAAAAACTCACATTGCAAGATGACTTGACTCCATCTCCACCAGCACAGATCATAGAGGTCTTAACTGTGCTGCCCCACCAGGAGCTGGTTGAACAGGTGGAGTGGGCAACCACGGGCAGAGTGACTTGCTGGAGGATGGTGGCCAGAGAACCGCCAGCTGCAGATAAAAAGCAGTTTGCATTACTGCCAATGCAAAGATAAAGCATACATCCAGTAATTATAGATATATAAAAGTGAGCGCTCTCGTGTCAGCAGCCAGTGCACTAAAGGTGATCACAGCAAACCTTATAGAACAACCAATAAAAATATAGTGCAGCGCTAAATATTCTCAGTATGTCATAAATTATCCACACAAAAGCTATAAGCATAGATGAACAGTTCATAAAATGAGATCCACTTGTTATAGCAGAAATACCAAGACTTGTGGCAGCAACAAATGATAGAAATGCGCACTCACCGGACGCACATGAATAATGCGCATGTAATCAATATCCACCGAGATCACTTAGGTAGGCGGAATGGGTGAGCTTCCAGGATAAATCATCAAGTCTTGGTGATGTGTAGTTAAACTGCTAGGTCCAGAGGTCCCCTTAAGGTTGGACAGGTGCACAGCCTGGGTACAGGGATCCCTCCCTCTGGTGGTGGTGGATCATAAAAGATGTCCTAGAAATGAAAAGGCTCCAAAAGGAACCAAAGGACAAATGCCCATAGTGTAGTATTTACAACGTTTGGCTTCCCCTCTGATGATGTGCTCTGCACGAAAGGCCTAAGGAAGAGCCAACAGAGCGTGACGTCACAGCCGCCCGGAGCCACGAGGAGGCCTGGCGGCCATCTTAATTAAGGGGTGAGTATCACTCTGCATTATCATATGTGAGATTTGTAGTGTATACTACCCTGTTTTCACCTAATTTTTGCACAAATAAAACATTGGAAATACTACACTATGGGCATTTGTCCTTTGGTTCCTTTTGGAGCTTTTTAGATTCTAGGACATCCTTTATGACCCACCACCACCAGAGGGAGGGAGCCCTGTACCCAGGCTGTGCACCCGTCCAACCTTAAGGGGACCTCTGGACCTAGCAGTTTAACTACACATCACCAAGACTTGATGATTTATCCTGGAAGCTCACCCATTCCGCCTACCTAAGTGATCTCGGTGGATATTGATTACATGCGCATTATTCATGCGCGTCTGGTGAGTGCGCATTTATATCATTTGTTCCTGCCACAAGTCTTGGTATTTCTGCTATAACAAGTGGATCTCATTTTATGAACTGTTCATCTATGCTTATAGCTTTTGTGTGGACAATTTATGACATACTTAGCGCTGCACTTTATTTTATTGATACGTCCAGTAATTGGTGAACCAGGAGAACAAGTGATTCACAGATTTTGTCTTATCTGCAGGAATTGTGTCATTCAGGAATTCAGGCAGTCTTGTATTAAAAATTGTATAATTCCCTGTAAATTGGTTAATCTGCATGAATAAATGTAGGTGAATCAAAAAATATTGCCTACTAACTAGTTGATTCTCTCATTGCTATTTATACTTCCACAGAAGAGTCAATGGTACATGACCATACAGTACACCAACTTAATGGGTAATTTTCCTAGGACAATTTATGTGGAAAATAAATATTCTGCTTTTAAAGATTGCGTCACAAAAATAAACAAATGAGGATGCATTTACATTTCACTTTTTTTTTTTCTCTAATTACTTTTATTTCTTATTTAATGTTGTATCTTCATTTATGTTGACTGTAATGTGGGTGGGGCTAAACAAGAAAAAGATGTTCTGTTTCTTTATTGATGAAATGCAGATTACACCACGGGTCAAGCAGTGTTATAAACAGCTGGAGGTCCTGAATGCAGTTTGTTCTTAAGCCCTGGTTTACACCAATGCAACTTGTCATATGATTTGACTTTCCAAATCGCATTACAAGTCGCACCCTATTTGTGCCTATGGAAATGTTCAAATCGATGGGACTCTTGCGGTGAGGCAATGATTTTAAAATAGGGTTCCTGCACTATTTTTTGGCGATTTCATGTGTGACTTGCATGAAGTTGCACAGATTTCAGGCAAGCCGCACATGAAATCACACTTACCAGCGGCTTTGAAATCGTGCTACTTCAAGTGAAATAGCGCAATTTTAAAGCTGCATTTGGTGTGAACCAGGGCTTAGATAGCATGGTGATGATTTAAGAAGCCAGAAGCAGACTGAAAAAGATGACTAGTGACAATAAAAATGACTGCAAGGAAGTTGAAATTGGACGTAAAGTAGTTCAGTATGTGTTTGGACAAAGTTATGCCTGTAATCTCTGACAGCCATGTTTGCAGTCCTTAACAACAAATGTATCACAACACATACTTTTTTTAACATTTTACACAGGCTCATTATAGAGCTTTTCAGGGGCTTGCTCAATCTTCCTGTACCAATACTTCTAATCAACAGAAGGGATATGTTCTGAGTAAATCTACAATCATATATCATATCTGCTTTAAACACTTTAACACTATTTCTTTTTGGAAATGCATCTGCACACCACTGTTGTTAACTCCCGACTATATTAACAGAACTATCTTACTAAGTTTACCTATGATGGATCAATACTTACTGCTGGTTCTTCCCCAGCCGGTGACAACACAATTGAAGTTGTTTGCCAGGGTGTAGCCATCACTTGGCAGGGTAGCCGCTTTCACAGAGGTGTTCAGGGTAGCGCTGGAAGCCAGCCACAGGACAGCGATATCATAACTATAAATTATACAAAGTGCAAAATAGTGACATGAGTGCCTTTACAGTCATACAAAACAGCCAAAACATAATGGCATTTTCTACTGTCCATGATAAGAGACAACACAAAACACTAAGGACATTGACCTGTTGGTTCTAGGGTAGGAGTAAACCTCCCCTATAATGCCAATGTACACAGTGGCTAAGCGGTTAGCACTGTGGCCTTGCAGAGATGAGGTTGGGGGCTGAAATTTCATCAGTGACAATGCATGGAATTTGCTGCTTTTATTGATTTTGCTTGGATTTCCACCAGATGTTTTCAGTGCTCTCCACAGTGTGTTCTTCATAGTCATAAAATATACTTTTTAATTAACTTTCACCAAAATTGTCCCTAAAGTTTGTGTGTCTGTATACCTGTGATATAAACGGTAGATTGTAAACTCTTTTGAGATATGATATGATATGTTCCAGGGTGGATAAAAATCAATGATTTTTTTAAAAAAATCAAAAAAATCGGATTTTTTTAATTTAAATCGGATTTTTTTTTATTTAAATCTAATTTTTTAAATAAAATGCTTTTTGAGGAAAATATATTACCATCCAAACATTATTCCATCATGAAATAAAGATTAGTTTTTTAATTATGTAGAATAAGGCTGTATAGGTTTAATTTTTTTGGTAAATAAATTCCATTAATCCATTCACAATGTCATGCTCTTCCAGAGGTTTTTGTAAGATTATTGGGCAGTTTCTCTGCCTACAAGATATTATCACAGATGCTTGGTTTACTTTTGCAGTTCTCAAAACTGAATTTGACTCAGCGGAGATCACATGCCTCTTCTTTACAGCAAAAATGTTATAACATGAACAGAGTTAAGAAAAAAACCTTAATCCTAACTTCTACAAACCTATGAATACAGAATCAACCCCTTCAGTGCTAAGTTTCAAGAAATTCAGTGAATAGAATAGAAACAATATTTTTCTGATTGTTTGGAGTGGAATAGATCTGCACAAGAAGAAAGTGGAACTAAGTGTGAGGAGGAAGGGGCTGACAGTCTAAGTTTCTTAAAATATCTATATTTTGTTTAGCCAAATTAGTTAACAAACATGTATGTTTAAGCAAATAACATATGCTGTAACGTTATTGTTTCAGTTGAATAAATCTATTTAAATTATTATTAAGGTAATGATTATTTTTCTCCTTCCTAAGTACAACAGAAAAGTTGTCCAAATATGAAGAATTAACCTATTAAACTGGGGATAAAAAAAAACTAATATGAAAAGTTGTTATTCTAAAAATCTTCATCTACTTGCATATTAAAGTTATACCAGCAAGAATTAGTCTTTATGTAGAAAACTAGGATTTAAATCAAGCCTTACTGACTAGTGATTTAAATCGTGATTTAAATCAAATCCACCCTGATATGTTCTATGGTTTAAAAATAAACTCCAAACAATTAATTAACATTTTAATGCAAGAAGCCAAATTCTTCTACAGGACTTAGGCTTGCCATAGGTAACTCAAATTTTGGCTGATTCAGCAGGAAGAGATTTGAGCTGTGAGTGGTTCTGCAAGCACTACCTGGTGGGACAAATGTTGATTTCAAAATCAACTGATCCAGGTGTTGGCTGATCAGTGACTGTATCTTATCAGGTGCAGCCACAGTTCGAGTTTTCAGGCAGCTGCAGGTGCCATGGCTACTAAATACAATTTTTGGCAGTGGAACTTCCTCCATGCATTCTTTTAAGCATGTATGGGGGTATCAACTGATTTTCTCCACAAGCTGAATGAGAGAACATTGAGCTGTGTATGGTTCACTTAACAGTAGCAGTCCAATTTACCAGGAGAAAATTATAGGTCACAGAGACGTTTCTCAGGTTTGTAAGTGTTTTTTAGAAGTCAGAGACCATTCATTAACCTCTTGCCGTCCGCCTGCTGTTTATAAACAGCAGGGCGGTGGCAGTCCAAGGTCGGGTTGCCGTTCCTAAACGGCACCCGCCTTTTCTAGCTGTGCGCGCTCCCTAGGAGCGCGCGCACCACCGCGATCCGGTGTCCGCTGTGTCCTCCGGACACAGTGAAACACCGATCGTCGGACGGGACCTCTGTACGAGGTCCCGGTCATGTGATCACTGATTGGCGAATCAGTGATCACATGCAAAGTAGTAAACAAGATGTCACTTGTGACATCATTGCTTACTACGTGTGAAATCTGTGAATGATCACAGAGGTCACATGGTACAAGGCTATTCACAACAGCCTTGTACCATGTGACAAGCTGTGACCAATCACAGCTCACTCAGTATTTCTCAATGACTGCAAGAATGCAGACAGAGAGAAAGAGAAATGATTGCTTTTACATCCTATATGGGTGTAAAAGCAATCAGTGTAAAAAAAAAAAAAAAAAATCTTCATCACCCCCACAAGTAGTACAGTGTCACCATGGTGACACTGTACTGCTAGGGTGACAGTATGTAAAAATAAAAAATAAAAATAAAAAATAATATAAAAAAAATAAAATAAAAATGTAAAAAAAAATGTTTAAAATTATAATGTTTGGTTATAAACTAATTTTGATTTTTTTTTTTTTTACTAAAAAAATAACGGAATAAATTTTGGCCAAGATTTAGGATGAAATATTATTTATTTGCAAAATTTTATTAAAAAAAACACTTTTTTTCAAAATTTTTGGACATTTTCATTTACATAGTAAAAAAAATAAAAATCCCAGCGGTGAATAAATACCACCAAAATAAAGCTTTATCTGTCTCAAAAAAATGGGAAAAAAATTCATATGGGTACAGTATTGCATGACCGCGCAATTGTCATTCAAAGTGTGATAGCGCTGAAAGCTGAAAATTGCCCTGGACAGGAAGGGGGTAAAAGTGTCCGGACAGGAAGTGGTTAAGTGACCACAGAGAACATACAGTAGGTCTATTATATTTTTTCCACATGATTAAGTTGCAAATCATATCATTTTTATGAGGTCCTGCTTCCGGGCAGCACAGTGGCTAAGTGGTTAGCACTTCCACCTGGCAGCACGTTTTGAATCCCAACCACAGTGCCACCTGCCTGGAGTTTGCATGTTCTGCCTGTGTGGGTTTCCTCTGGGTACACCAGTTTCCTCCCACACTCCAAAAACATGCTAGTAGGTTAATTGGATCCTGTCTAAATTGGCCCTAGTATGTGTATGAATGAATGTGAGTTAGAGACCTTAGAGGTTGTACACCTCCTGAGGGTTAGGAACTGATGTGAATGTATAATATATGTATTTAAAGCACTGCATAAATTGATGGCACTATATAAGTACCTGAACTAAAAATAAATAAAATCCTAAATGTTCTGAAAACTGTAGTAGCTGTGGCTAAATTGGAACATGTGTAAAATATTTTCTGTTTTTATTGGGTGCATGTAAACTATACTGTATATTTAATGCATTAATTAGAAATAGAAAGTCTTCTCTAACATGTACCTCTTCAGCAGAACAGTTACTGGTTTTTTTTAATGTTTATTTTGTACTTAATTAAACCTTATCCACTTTTATGCAAAGAGGCATTTATATGACTGTGAGTCAACAATAACAGATCTGTCTCCACATTTCAGCTTTTTACCCAGCAGCGACGTTATTGGTGTTCCAGCTGGCATGCTTTCTAATTGAAGATACAGAGATGTACTGTTCGGTGCCATCATTAGCGCTAAGGCTGTGGTCTCCCAGGGCAACACGGTAGGACACAACTCTAGGGAAAAATAGAAAGATTAAAGAAAATGAGAGCAGTTTGTACTATTAGACATGTAATAAATTACAGAGGGAAATAAGCGTTAGTACTTGTAGGAACATCATATATCTGTTGCCCTCTCTGATCTGTATTTCTCATGTCTACCCCTGGTCAGAGCAGAGAGAGCACAGGAGGAATATGGTGATAATGAACCTATGGATTGCCAGTGCAGTTACCCCAGACAGAAGTTGTATGGTAAGCTATTTTATATACAAGCTTGGCAACACCTAAATAGACACTGCTACCTTAGCCCCACTAAGGCCCAAGCGACAATGTCTGTATAAAGAGGCTCCCCTCCCACTGCTACATACCATGCCAGTGCTCCACTTCTGCTCCTTCTTCCATTGCAGCCAGCAAAAGAATCCACAGTATTGACAGAGTGGGTAGTCATGGTATTGCTCTCCCATAGTATCTCAGACTATGCAAAACCACTATACAGTTGCAAGAAAAAGTATGTGAACCCCTTGGGATTACATGGAGTTTAGCATGAATTGGGCATAAAATGTGCTCTGAATGTCATCTAAGTCACAACAATAGAAGAACACAGTCTGCTGAACATAATACTACACAAACATTAGATGTTGCCATGGTTTAATTGCACATAACATGTAAACATTCACAGTGCAGGGAGGAAAAAGTATGTGAAGCCCTAGCTTAATGACTTCTCCCAGAGCTAATTGGAGCCAGGAGTGAGCCAACCTTGACTCCAATCAGTGTGTGATGATATTGGATGTGTTGCTGACAGCTGTCCTGCCCTTAAAAAACACACACCTGTTTTTGGGTTTACTGGTTTCAAGAAGCACTGTCTGATGTGGACCATGCCTCGCAGAAAAGAGCTATCAGAAGACCTACGATCAAGAATTGTTGACTTGCATGAAGCTGGAAAGGGTTACAAAAGTACCTCCAAAAGCCTTGATGTTCATGTGTCCATGGTAAGACAGACTGTCTACAAATGGAGAAAGTTTAGCACTGTTGCTACTCTCCCTAGGCATGGTCGTCCTGTAAAAATGACTGCAAGAGCACAGCGCAGAATGCTGCATGAGGTAAAGAAGAATCCCAGAGTGTCCGCTAAAGACCTACAGAAATCTCTGGCACATGCTAACATTTTTGTTGACACATCTACAATAAGGAAAACATTAAACAAGAATGGAGTACATGGGAGGACACCACGGAGGAAGCCATTGCTGTCCAAAAAGAATATTGCAGCACGTTTGAAGTTTGCAAAAGAGCACCTGGATGTTCC